GGAATTGTTCCCTGTGAGGGTGGGCAGGCCCTGGCACAGGGTGCCCAGAGCAGCTGTGGCTGCCCCTGGATCCCTGGCAGTGCCCAAGGCCAGGCTGGACGGGGCTTGGAGCAGCCTGGGACAGTGGGAGGTGTCCCTGCCTGTGGCAGTGTTTGGAAGATTTAAGGTCCCTTCCAACCAAAACCATTCCATGATTTATGGCAGTGCCCAGGTTCTCCTGTGATCTAAGTAGAAAAGCTGTGTCCAAACTGTTCCTGTCCTGCAGGAGCAGCCCTGGGAATAACCAGGGAGCTGCTGGTGTGGGGAGGGAGAAGGACCCTCCCTGGCAGGTGTGGCTGTTGCGGCCTCAGCTATTTCTCTAAGTAGTGGAAGATTTAACAGTGCTTTTGTCTAGCACAGTTTGTATCCTGGAAGGGTCCTGGTGCCCATTTTGAAAATGCTTTGTGCTTCCTCCAAGTAACACTGTTCTCCTTGCCCTTTTTCCCTCTCTTCTCTCCCTGCTTTCAGAAATCGCCGCACGGTGTGGTTATGACAAACCCACGGATATTCCCAGTAAGTCTCTCATGACTTGTCTTATCTTCCAGCTGTGTCACACAGACAGGAAGGGATTTCCAGGGAGCTTTGTGCAGCACCTGGGAAGTGTCTATAGTGACAACTTTCCCAAGGGATGTGCTGGGTCCTGTGGGCAGCACGGGGACAGTGGGTTTGGGCACTTTCACCTTGTCCTCAGTCCCTGTTTCAGTGTTACCTCTCTGTAGCACCTGGCTGTTAGAGCCTGGCTGATCCTGCCCATCCCGGGTGGAACATAGAAACATTCCCTTTGGGAATGGGTGTTCAAAGCCTCTGTAAATATTAACATAAGGAATCACACAGGAGTGACTGCTTCTCCTCGTTGTCAGCCCTGAGAATCTTGGTTCTGGCTTGGTGGCAGTTGTCCCTGAAGGTCCCCCACACTCAGGTGTCCCCAAAGAGTTGTGTCACCTCAGCTTTGGACAAGTTTCATGAAGCAGAGAGTGTCACAATGTTTGGTCTTTTCTGTTTTCAGGCTGCTCTGAGCTGTTACAAGTCAGAGGGCAAATATTCCTACAGAAGATCAGCTCTGCCCTTTCTGACTGCTGCCCATTTTTGGCATAACACCTGCTAATCATGCTCTATCTAAAATAAAATTATAAAATATTCCATCCCCAACATCCACAAAGCAACACACTGAAGGTTAAGGTGTTGGCCTCTGTCTTCAGCCTAATTTTTCAGTCGAGTTAGGTCAGCTCAGCAGGCCAAGACTGTGCCTGGAGCTGGAACAAGTGGCACTGGGGCAGCAGGTTGATTTTTTGAGGGATTCCATGGCTCTCCATGGGCTCTGGGCTGAGGGTTTGGACTCACTGATCATTGCTGGAGGGGGGTATGCAGTGCTATAAGTAATTTTTAAAACAAAACAGGCTCAGAATGTGTGGCTGGTGTTCTGTAGTGAAAACAAGGGGTAAAGCAAGTATGGGCTTCAGGTAATTTTGCTGTGATGTTATTCCAGCATTCTGGGAATGTTGGGGGAATGAGAGTGTTCTGAGTGAGTTGTGGTGAGATTCCTGCCTGGAAATGAGGACAGTTGCAGGCTCCCTGAAGGAAGGCTGTGCAGGGAGAGTCTGGATGCCACGGGGAATGCTCACCATGCTCTCATCCCACAGGGGGACAGGATTTTAGAGACTGGAGAGATCATGCCACCCCTGAGAGACGAGCACCACCAGCACCACTGATGGCCAGGAGCCAGTTTCCTCTGTGGGGGAGCATGGCCAGAGCTGCACCTGCTGTGTCTCTTCCATAAAAGTCTGCATTGTCTCAGCTCCTGTGTCATTTACTCTCTTTAGTCCGTGTCATTCCAGGTGCTCTTCCTATGGGAGTTCATTATTTCTGGATCCCAGGGATCTCCAAGGCACCCACTCACCTCTCGGTGAGACCTGGCAGAAGGACAGTGTGGCCCTTGGGGTGATGAGGGAGGCACTCTGGATCCCAAGATTGTGGAGCAGGCTGCTCCAATGAGCAGTCACCCTGAGCTCACATACACACTTGGTTCTCCTCTGCCACCCAAACCCTTTCTACCAACCCTTTCTGACAGGCTTCCAGTGAAAAGGTAGCTTCCACCTATGTCATCCCAGCTCTCTGCCTAGGGAGGGTGGCAGAAGAGGCATTGCTGCCAAAAATCCATTTTACCACTCTTCCCTCTGCCTTCAGCCCTTTCTGAGGAAGAGTCTTCCAGTCCCCACATACCTGGGGCACTTTGTATTGGGAAGACTGTGCAGTGATCCCTGTAGATCCCTTCCAACCTGACATATTCTATGATATGAAGTGTTTTTGTAGCTACTTTAGGGATAGGAATGGTTAAACCGGTAATCCGAAGGGTAACCTGGGTGGCTGTGACAGAATCCCCTGAGAGTCATGAGAGAGCAGCCCAGCCCATGTGTGTGAGGAGCAGGGGACAGGTCAGAGCTCCGGTGCTGTGTTTGGGGACAGCCAGACCCCTCCTAATAGCTCTGGCAGGGATTTGGCAAACAAGGGATGAGGGAGGTCGTGGACCCCAGGCCCTTGCCAAAGCCACATCCCTTTCTTTCCTTGGGTGAATGGTGGCTCAGGGTGGGACAGCAGTTGGGGTGGTGCAGTAGGATCCTTTGGGTCATCACTGGGGAAGGTTGGGGGTCACTGGGGGGGGTGGGATAGTGAGCAGGGGCTGTTGGGGGGCACTGGGAAAGTAGAGAGTCAGGGGGGAGCCTGGGTGTTGAGGGGTGGTGGGGTTGGTAGAGAGGCTCCAGGGGGATGAGACTTGTCCTGCCCAAGGCCTTGGGGGTCCCTGTCACTACCCCTGCCCCAAGGGCCACAGCAAGCCCAGCCCCTGGCCAGTGACCTGGACCCTGGCCTTCCCTTCCTGGAGTCCCCTGACACCTCCACCCCACTGATGGCAGCTGGGGTACCCCAAATCTCCAAGGTCCCTGTGCATTTGTGCAATGCTTGAGGAACTGGGGACTGTGACATCTCCTGGGCACAGCACATACCCAGGGAGATGCCTGATACTCCCAGAGCTCCCAGAGTCCCCCAAGAAGGCCCTGATACAACCAGGACTCTGAAATTCCCCTAAGGAAATGCTGACTACTCTCCTCCTCTAGTAAGAATTCCCCCAGGACTACAGGGAATTCCTAGTACCCCCAGAGTGCCATGAACATTCCCACAGCTCCAGCAACCCAAAAGACACCCCTATCCCCCATGTCCCCATGATGTGTGGCTCGGGGCTATTTTAGGCACGGACTCAGTCCCAAGGGCAGCTGTGGGGCCCTGGGATCACCTAGGGGTTTTGGAACAGATAATCCTCCCTGAGTAGAGGGGATAGATACCTTTCCCTCAAGCAGGGAGAGGTTTGAGTGCCATAACCACACCAAGAAAAGACAACAGAGCACACTGAACATGTCCTGGCACAGCTGCAGCAGAACCATTCACCTCCATCCCCTCAGCTGTCCCACTGCCGGTGACAGCACGTGGCACAGGGCAAGCAGGAGGAACCAGGAGCCTGATGTCAGACACACACACTGCTGACAGCTGCTGGACCTCTGCAACGACCACGTGCCTCCACAAACACAGTCTGGATCTTCCCTGCACCATTCCTGTACCTCTCAAAGTCATCGAGTCCAATTTCCCTTATACCAAAGATGTGGGTGATGCATTCTCTTGACAATGAAAGCAAACCTCTTCTGGGTTTGTACCAGATTTGTGGGAATCCAGGGCATTCCTCTGGCTACCCTGGCAGGGCTCAGGAACCCCCTGGACAGAGCCCCCAGAGACACTGTCTGTGATCTCTGTCCATGGAAAAGAGTTTTCAATCTTACAGCATGAATTACCAGCTCTGAGTGTTTGATATAAGTAATAATTAGTGTAACACAACTACAAAAGTAGAATTTTAGGATTCTAGATAAGGGGTTCAAAGGAGACAAGATGGAGGACATTGAGCATGCTTTGTCCTTCTTCATGTCTTCCATGTTTCACTGTAGTGTTGGCATTTTTCTATTGGTTTAGACTAGGGACACACTGTTCAATATAAGTGATATATATTAGCATATTATTATAAATATAGCACATGTAGTTTCTAGTATATAATGTTTGTAACATCCCTTAATAGAGAAAAGATTTTATAAAGTTAATATAGATTGTGCCCTCAATAACATACATAATATACGTTGTGCCCTCAAGTGCCCTCAGTGTTGCACACACAGATATTACACACAGGACTGCATCTTCTGCATTACTTTGAGATCCTTACCAGCTAAAAACATATCACTGATGAGTGATAGATGCACCCATAGATCATCACAGAGCCGTGGAATGGTATGAAGGAACTTTAAAGCTCATCTTGTCCCACACCCTGCCGTGGGCAGGGACACCTTCCACAATCCACAGGTTGCTCCAAGCTCTGTCCAGCCTGGTCCTGGACATTTCCAGGGATGAGGCAGCTTCTTTGGGTAGCCTGTGCCAGGGCCTCCCCACCCTTATACAATATATACACTATATATATATACACATTATATATTTAGTCAAGGGTTGTCTTTCCTTGCACCTGCCTTGCACCTTCCATTGCAACAGCCCAAGGAGGAATATCTCCCAAAACAATGATGGATCACTTGGCTTTCTGTCCTGCCCTGTGACAGCCATCAGGACCTCCTCGTTGCTCAGGCTGCAGCTGGGAGGGTTGGGCAGGCACCAGGAAAGAGCCACCTGCCAGTGTGGAGGTCACAGCAGAGGTAAGAACTGAGGGAAGGCTCATTCAAGCTTGGTGTCCTGGGAAACGAGGACTGTGGAAGATCAGGGGATGTGGAACATGCAAACCCTGTGTCTCACCTGATGTGCCTCAGGCAGGAGCTGCTGGTTCCAGCATTGCCAGAACACAAAGGGAATTCTCCCTGTGGATCCTCCTGTCCCTGCCAACCCTGGGAGTGTACTGCTGTGCTTGGCCAGCTGGGTCTGCTCCAGGCCACCTCCCATCCTCTGGGGTATCCCGTGGCACAGCAGCTCGGGATCAGTGCCAGGGGAGCTCACAGAGAGATCAGGAGCTGTGTCTGGGCTGACACACATCCATCCACCATGGCTGGTTGGATCTCAGCTGTGCGAGTCCATGGCATGGGGCTGATGCCTCAGGTTTTAGCTTTTATATTTTCCAGATTCTCTACTGCTTTAGTGTGTACTTCTAAGCTTCATATTAGGGGATGGTGAGCTCTCTTCACAGAGAAGGGAGACAAAACAATTCCTTCTCTAGCTGGGGACCAAAGGCAAATGATCCAAAATTCAGGCCCAAGACCACAAATAATGTGGGCTGGAGAGAGAAAAACAAGAAGGATGTGACTTCATGGACTGGGGCTGTAACTGGACAATTAACTCCAATATGCAAATGGACCAGAACTGATGTAAAAGTGAGAGACCCCATGACTGGTCATGCATTTTGTGACCATTTTGGTTTATCTTATCATCACAAATGATGAACCCATGATAACTGTTTTGTAGCTGGTTTTAACCAACCATTTTGGTTCATCTACACCAGCTAGGGTGTAGTGCTGGCTGGGCTCTTGTGCTTCCCAAGGTGGATCCATTGAGGCCTCCTAATAAATCCCTTGTTTATTCTTTAGCTCTGTCTGGTCTCTGTTCCAGGTCAGCCTTCCCAAGGCATCAGGGAGAGCTGGCTGACAGTCTCCTCTGTCAGATGTGGGAAGTGCTGGTGGGTGGGGGAGAACCTTTGCAGCTGGAGGAAACCAAGGTTTGTATGGTCAAAAAAAGCTCAGGATGGCCCAGGCAGCCCAGGCAGCTCTAGGAGAAGCCATGGAACGGTCATTTTAGGAGGCATGGCAGGTGGAGGTGAAGCTGGAGAACAGTCAGTGTGGAGTTACAATGCTTGAAAATGATTGTTTTCTTTGATGAGGTTTGCTCAGGGCAGAACAGGTTACATTGCCCTCACCTTTAACCAGGCCTTTCTCCAGACCAGGAATGCCATCTGTGAGTGAGGGCAGCATGGGGCTGCTCCTCCCCTGGCCCACCCCAAATAACAGTGGCAGAACTGTGTCTGCAGCCTCTAGAAAAGATATGCCTGCAAATAAATGCATTGATATGACTCGCAATCACATTTTACAGAGGGATGAAGGGAAGCCCAAGCTCTTAATCAGCTTTTGGTCCTGCATTGTCCTATAGAAGGTCTCATGAACATTTGCCATTTCAGCACCCCTCAACTGCCCACAGAGAAAGCCTGGAGTGCCCTCTGGGGAGGGAGGGTCCAACAGCCTAAAGAGAACATTCTCCCTCTTTAGCAACTGTGGACTTTCACTTATCAGCCATTTATCCCCCTCCAAGACTGGTGGCTTAAATGATGCTGCTTTTGCTGGAACAACGACCACTGATTTTCGATCAGGGTGTGCTGGATGAGCTGGGCTGGGTCTCATGTGGGACCCCCTCCCTTTCTTCGCCCGTCGCTCTGGGAGGGAGCAGCCCAGCACGGAGAGTGCAGCAGGCGCTGCACGAACTGCTCCCAGCTCTCATCTCTGTGCGGTGGGAGGGTTTGAAGGTGCTTCTTAACGCGGTGAGTCCGGCCTTGGGCTGGCTCGGGAGGCTGCACTCCGAGGCTGGCGGGTGCCCTGCAGCGGCCCGGCCCGGCCCGGCCCGGCCCGGCCCGGCCCGGCCCGGCCCCGCGCCGAACCACGGCCGCACACCGCCCGCAGCGCCGAGCAGATCCCGCCGGCCCCGCCTCCGCTTCGTGCGCCGCCAGGTCATTAGGAGCTGTAATGACGAGCGGCTCCTGCCCGGGTAGGCTCCGCCGCGGGCT